GCATGTGATTCACAGAACTGTTAAAACAAGCCTAAGAATCTGCCGCCATGCCAGCAGCGTTGTGCTGGTGTTCTTAATGAATGTGTCATCGTGGCAATATGTTGTAATAGTTGCAAAAGGGTTTATGAGGTATTACTTTTCTTTTTCTGCAATATTTTTTAGTTCCATTCCATTTATTAGACAAGCCAATACCATGAGCTATCTTCTCATGGTTCTAATATGTACAGAAAAGGAACAAACACATGTGTTTAAGTATAAAAGACCAGATTTAAAGTGTTAAAAGGCACGTGTAAAAACAAGGCAAAGCTTTTCAATTTGAATCTGGATTGCCGCATTCTGTTTTTAGTGATACATGTTAACATTTCGTGGTTTTTTGTTTTGCGCTTCCCTCTAGATCTGCCGAAGGTTAAATGGCATCAGGTTTACCAGCTGTAAAAGTGCCAAAGACCGGACATCCATGTCTGTCACACTCGAGCAGTGTGCCCTCCTGCGTGATGAACACCAGCTCAGCAAGGACTTCTTCATCCGGGCTCTGGACTGTATGCGAAGGTAAGACGGCAACAGAAGATTCTATGAACTTATTATGGGTGCAAGTTATTGTTTTTCCAAATCTCAACTCACGGAACTAAAACAAACCTCACGGCTCACTGCTAAATGAGGCAAATGATTTTAAAGTATCGTTCTTTAATCCACGGAATAGACTTCTGGTTAGAAAATAACCTGCACCTGCCACTTGCATGTGTGCAAAAGCTGACACCATCATCGCAAACATCAAAATACCTTTTGTCTGCACGTTCGATGTGCCAGTGTAAACATCTTCGCCTTGCCTTTTTTTTTTTTTTTGCCTGTCTTGGTTCAAAGGAAACCAGGCATGTATCATGCTTCGAGGACCCTGCTGCCTTTAATGTTTGTGCCGGCAGGGTAAACATTTGCATCTGCGTGTATCCTTATCTATAAGGCTGTCTGTGAAGTTTATTCCCGTGGTGCTTGTGGTAATGACCTGTACAGCCCAGCTGATTGCAGTTGGGTCAGATTGACCCTATAAGAAGCTCTATATCTCTATATATCAATATTGCTGCACAATGCTGCTGCGGTCTAACGTTATCACGTTAGTAAGTCATAGTCCCCGTCCCCTGCACAGGAAACAGGATGAGCTGAAAGCGGAAAGCCTGAGGCTTATAAGACGAGCTGCACCCAACCATGGATTAAATGGCAACAGCAGAAACTTTTTATGTTTTACTGCACGTGATGGCAATCTGATGTTGTTACACAACCTTTTGGTTTGTTCATGTAGCTTTCAGGTATGTGGCTGGTTGGTATTGGGCTTGATGTATTATGTCTCTACCTGCAGGCATGTGCTTGTCTGCTTGTCCCTAGTTCCATTATCCACAAGAGTTAAAGATCCAACAAATAAGATCTCAGAGGGGAGCAGTTTCACTCTTTGGTCATTATGTTTTTTGTAACGCTCCAGAGAGCTAATGAAGCGACATACAGTAAACAAACAAATCGGCTCGACCAGATGCAATGAAAACACACGGCTGAAGTTGAAGATGAAGCAATCAGAGGCCGCGTTTTCTACCTCCTGTTCCATGTATTTGCCGGTAATTTATTTAGAAGAACCTTGTCTGTTTCTTTACCTCGTAAACATTGAAGACACACTCATCGACAATAAAACACACACACACACAGCGCACGTTGTGAGTCTGTGGCATCGCCGGCTCCGCTCATCGCCGCCTGCCTGTCTGTGGCTCTTTTGTCCAAGTGGGCCTTCTGGTAACAGCCTGGCATCAAGTGATCATTCCTGTGCTAGAAGTCCCCCTTGGGACGGCAGCGCGACTGTACTAACCCCCCCCCCATCCCTTGATCTGTTGGTTCTCGCTCCATTGTGGCGCAGTCGGCTGACGCAGGGAGACGTTGGGCAGTGGGAGGACCCCGAGGCTGGCGGCCCGACGGACAACAAACCTGCGTCGCGACACTTTTACCCCATCGCCCTGCTCCTCGTTAGCTCGCACTTACTGGTTGTGTGGCTCATTTTAAGTCTCGTTTTTCTGCTTGCAAAATATCAATAAATTGCTGACAATGCCATCCCTACTCGCTGCTTTTTCTGTGTTTGAAGGTTCTCCTTTTACGCGTGGTGGACCTGGTTGACTTTCTCACCCATGGTCTGCTTTTTATCAGGAGGGATTTAGTAAGGCTGTATGCTTTCGGGCGATCTGTCTCTGACCGTGAAGAAAATAAAAAACCTAAAAAGAGAGATCACAAAGGAACTCTTTCATTCACAAAACCGCCCGCAACTGGTTTTTGGATTCGGAATGGTTCGGAATGATTTGGCTTAGGGATGACGCAGATATTTACAGTGGCAGGACCAGCCAAACCACAGTCAATGATGAACGAGCAGCTTGCGCCACAACCGGCTCATTGGGCGTTTCATCATTCCGGCGTGTTTGCGACTGGCACACCGTCTCTACGCCATGCGCCCCAAAACACCGTCAAAAGCATGAACGTTAACCTAAAATCCAAGTACAGCATTTAAGTGCCGCGTTAGATGTACAATGAAATGAAGAGTACCCAGAAGCAGCAAAAGCAAACTTCCTTTTCACGTTTCTTCACGCTATACCACGTCATTATTTGAGCTCCTCGAGATCAACTGAACTCGATGGCTCGATGTGAAATCTTCCCATCTGCGGTTCCTCGAGGTCAAGAATGAACAAACCTTGAGGACAGTCGAGCTCAATGTTGTGACTCGTGAACCAGCGCACACAAAAGAGATGTTCGGAAGTTATGAGAGGGGTCTGGAGATCTGGTCACAGATATGATTATTATCATTTCTATGATTGATCCACACTGACGTCAACGTGACACACAATGGAACGAGACACTAGACAACTGTAAACTGTTTTATTATGCACCTTCTTTTACTTCACCAACTACACACCCGTGAAAGATTACACATGTATTATAGTAGTTACCATTCAAATGCGTCATGCATGAATTCTTTTTTTTTTTAATTCATTGTTTTATTCAACTATTCCAACAAATACTCAATTCAATAAAACACATTAGTATTTTGGTACGTCCTTTTGTTTAGGGACAAATTTAAGTCATATTTTGTGTCCATCATTATCATTTCAACTCATTCATGTTTTCTCATGTTGTTTTCATTTCCTTTCTTCCCCTCATTCCCTTCGCCTTTTTCGTTTTTTGATCACCAGAGAAGGATGTCGGATTGAGAACGTTCAAAAGAATATTAAATGCAGGAAGTATGCCTTCAACATATTGCAGCTGATGGCCTTTCCCAAGTGCTACCGACCGCCAGAGGGGACCTACGGTAAAGTCGACTCTTGAGGAACTAAGACACCACACAATGTTGATTCATTATAAATGGTGGTGATCGTTTGTAACCCAAAATAACTGAGCTGGATTTTGTATTTTCCTGATTTGTGTTTGGTTGGATGTGTTGATCCAAGGGGGAATTTGCCAAATATGTGTTATTTGTAACTTGAACGCACTTTTCTTCATCCATACAATTGCTGGTTAAACTGCTTAAAGTCAGAAGAGAGATCGTTACATGCAAAACGTACATGCAACAGTGATTTTTGTGGTATAAATACTGCTCTCCACAATGACTAATGTTCCACGTTTGGACGTTCTGTTTTGAAGTTTTACGTAGTAAAAGAGTTCTGCAGTTTCGTATTCATGCCTAAATACTTGCTATTTTGCTTTTGACTGAAGCCTATGTTAAATCTTCCTCCAGGACTTGTTTCATTATTTTAATGGATGCACCCAAACTTTTTCCAGAATAATTTTATACTTCAAGGTACAGGACACAATTTGTATATTTAACCAGCGTTTCTGAATGCAGATTATATTCAATTATTTATTTTTGTATTCTAAAATTATTTTATACTTAAATGGTTGATACCTTGGACTGTAATGCATGTTTGCAGTGTTAAACATCGGACATTTACAATGTCGCTATTGTGTTGAAACTAAATTAAAGAATGGCTTTATGTGGATGTCTGAAATTGTGATGTTATGCACATTTTATATCGCTAATGTGCGTTTAATTGGATTAAACTACTGAAGTGTACACAGTATTATGATCTGAGGCGTGTGTTGCATTAAAAACATTCCCAACTGGCAAAATATATTCAAGTAACACACCAATAGATGAGAATATTATATCATCTTTGTCTGGGCCAAATACTGATCTGAACAATCCACCAAATATTTACATTTTGAGCATCAGTTACCTAACGCCTGTAGTCTTATACACAGGTTTACTCCTTCAACAGCATCCCTGGTTTGCTTCGATTTACAGCATTACCTTTGTGTTTTAACGGTAAACCAGGTCCAAAACCACTTCTCTGTCCTGCGGCCAAGAATACTCTTCTGTCTTGTCTGTGGCCTTCTAGAATGTCTAGATGGACAACTTCCCATCCAAGCTGAAGTTTCCCCAACAGCTGACCAATCTGAGACGTGATCCTGCTTCATAGATTACAGACCGTTTGCTTAATATATCAACGCATTGCCGGCTCAAACACCGGCTCCCGGTCCTGGATTTAAATACGATGTTTAGAACCTTGTGTCATTTCTCTATTTCCGAGCGGACAGCCAATGGAGACCAATGGAGAGCGCTCCCTACTCCGCCAAACTAGTCGTTAATGGTAATGCATCAACAGACCGCAGTCCTGGAAAACAAACACCAACTCGGGCAATGTGACCAATGCCTCAGGAATAAACAGAGTGAAGCTTGGTGAGAGCCTTCAGGCAGACTTTCGCTCTGCACGGGTCCCTTAATCTTGGAGTGAGGCGAGTTAACGCAGGTGGCTTCTGAAACGCACAGTGGGATCTGATCCACCTACACGGACGCTAACATGGATTTCATGAACAGCTGTTTTCAGTTTGAATTCCCACAAACAAAACCTACTAAAAGTAAAGCACAGTTAACTTGAGGTTAAGATAAAAGGCTAAAAGAAATGAGAGAGGGAGAAACTATAGTGAGGACACAGGAGTTCATTAGGAATATACTGTATAATAGGTTTCACATTAAGTAGTGTTTAGCTGTGAGCTCGATAGTAGTTATACATACAATAAATGGTGCTACTAGGCGCTGTTTCCTGGGAATTCTTTCAGACCTGTACAAGGCAAAATGCACAGTGACTTCATGTACAAAGTTATAAACAATCAATGGCTTAAGATGCAGTTATATCATTCATTTAAACTCATGTTTTAGAATACAGGACGATATACTTTGTCACATGTTTTCAAGGTTACGGTGCGATATTTACAAAACATAAACCGACACAATTCTTTACAATTTTTTACAAATACAAATGTGTAGCTTATACTGTAGTTGAATCACATTATGTTTGCATGCTGTTCAATTCTTGCAAAAGGCTATTGAGTCTTTCCATGAATACTGTAATATTCTTAAGTGAGTAGGCTTCACATGGTGGACAGTCAACCTAAAATTCAAAAGACACAGAAAACATATGTTTAAATATAAATAATAATACATGGAGAAAATATAAATAAATGCTAATCTCATGTAAAATGAATAATGTGTGAGTCACGAAAAGCTTTGTTTGCAGAGAGGAACAGCGTGCAGCTCCAGTTGTTATGCGAGTGTGACGGCGACTTATGTTAAAATGGACTTACAGGATACGCCGAAGCCCCGTTGTCAAGGTCAGGCAGTCGTTCGTTAAAGTCCATGACACAGTGTGTTTTCGGATTTTCGGATCCTACTTCTTCGACGATGACCATCCTCAACTCCAAAATGTAACATTTGAGCGACATCATTTTACAGTTTTCCTTGGGGTGAAAGAAACAAACAAACAAGAAGTCAGATGTGTTTTTTGTAGCTGATATTAACACCGCTGAGGTAGAAACTTCCACATATAACGTGAATTCTGCTTTAAGTTTATACATTTTTAGTAGTGCCACTACTTTCCTGGCTGGACAATCATTTTGCTACACAATTAAACAGTAAACATGTGTTTGTTATCTATGGCATCAGCGTGATACTGGAGTTTGCAACATTCTATTAACAAATTCCCTTAAAAGCGTGAAACTAACAACGCGTCTGCACACATAGTGGTACTTCCTCGCCATATGCTGCTTAGCCCATTTATTCTCACTGACTTAAAGCCCGAAAAATGCTCCCAACTAATTCATTTGCAAACCCGATTAAGGAGCTACAGCCGTATAATCCCAACATTTAGCGGGTATTATGTTTTCCATGTTCATCTGAGTTAGGGGCCTAGAATTAGAACTCTTCTCATGTTTAAAAAACATATATGGGCCTTGTAGTAGTCGACAGACGTCACTCAAATATGAGTGAATGGAGCATTTGTTGGGGCCTTTTTATTCAACAATGGGTTGATACATATTTTCACATAGTGACTCAATAAACCGTGACAAAGGTCGCTGCAATGACGGACTCTGTCACCCGAGGCAATGGTAATTAATTTACCATTTAATGGTAAAGGTCTGTGACCGCCAGAGGTGTCAAAAGTATTCACATTTATTACTCAAGTAGAAGTACAGATACTAGGGTTTAAAAAGACTCCTGTAGAAGTTGAAGTACCAACTCAAGCTTGTAAGCAAGTAAAAGTATAAAAGTACTGGTTTCAAAACTACTTAAAGTATACAAGTAAAAGTAATGTAAGAAATCCCATTAAGGACAAACTCTTAATGTGTAACCTCGCTCACACAACACGTCAGTCCGTTACAATGTGATCCAAAGGTGCCTGCAGATCATGTGACCTGTCGTTGGGACGGTGGAAACATGGAGATACTCAGAGACACGACAAAACAACACGTGTATCTGACTTAAACAGATAAAACCACAACCCATTTTCCAGTGACACAAGTCACACACACACGTTGTTCGCATTGATGAGGTAGACTGCAGTGTCTCCCCCAGGTTCATGGGGGGGGGTCTGACTTTTTACGGGGTGGGGGTCGCACCCCTGTTTATAATGATGGGAAACACTGAAGGAAGAGTGTGAGGAAGAGGAGGAGGAAGAGGAGGAGGCTCCATGTCGCTAAATACCAACTTTCCACCGACCACTTTTCCCACCCGGTGTCTGGATGCTAAATGTTTATACTTCTCATCCAACCACAATCAAATGCACTCTGTCCGCGTAGCGCCACTCATCGAGTTTTTTGTGTTTGTGTTTTTGAACTACGACAAGCCAGAAGTAACGAGGCTGTTTTTAAAATGTAAGGAGTAGAAAGTACAGATATTTGCGTAAAAAAGTAAAAAAGTCGTCTGAAAAATAAATACTCCAGTAAAGTAAAGATACCCAAAATTTCTACTTAAGTACAGTAACGAAGTATTTGTACTTCGTTACTTGACACCTCTGGTGACCCCCCCCATCCACCCAACCAGGCAACAGAGACAATGTCAGTTCATGGTCTCCTTCTGCTACTTACTTTCACCTCATTAGCTGACGGAGCATATAGCATAGCATCAGATTTCTAAAACAGGGAGGAAATAAAACATGGATTTTATAATCAAACAAGCTTTTGAATGTTTAGAAATATTATGAGGAGATCAGTAGATAAGGATAAGGAACAGGAAATCCATTCAACAGAGGAAAAAAAATAAGCGTTCTACATCTGGTATAAAACAAACACTTTTAGCACAAGTGGCACAAACATGAATTAAATGTAACTGTATTTGATACCTTCTCTCACCTCAATGGCTTTTTTCAGATATTCTGTTCCCAAGCAACTCTGCAGATGTGCTAATTTGGCAGCCCCGGGAGCAGCACACGTAGATGTACTCAAGAGGCTTTAAGAGAATGAAAAGACACAAATTGCAGTATATTACCCAACATAATGTGGTGTCTTTTTGTTGATTTGAGTTTGTTCTGCATTTACAAATGGATGCGCAATATCTGGTCACTGAAAAAAATGATTTCATGCACATTTACAAACTGTCCTTTATTGTTATTATTTGACTTCACTTGTGTTGGCAGTGTGCTTTTTCGTCTTCTTTACTGATCATATGCCCTGTGTTAGTAAGCATTTGGTCACGCATTGTATGCCTACCTCAGAACTAAGAAACAAAGCCAGACCTGAGGTTTGTGACTCTCTTGGAACAGGTGGCAGGTCGACCGCAACTGGAAACCTTTCTGGAAAAAAACACATTAAGACAAACGTCAAGCTTGAAGGAATCGGTTTTCAGAAGAGTAGCAGCAATTAGCAACTTGGATATGCAGGTACAGTTGTGATCAAACGTGCAAAGATAAGACCAATTCAAAACAACTTATTTATTTTTTATTTAACTAATGCAGGTTTTCACAATAAGATCAATTCTGCCTGATAAGTATGTCAACATTTTTCACGTAAGGATGATGAATTCCTTATGCCTGCTTATACTAGTCTACATTCGGGTATTACTTTATTTTAATTACTAACTAGAAACGGAGTACTACTGGAGCGCACACAGTATAAATGCGCGAGGTGCTCGCGCCTCGCCAGGAAAACTGAAAGTGAAACCAAGACCCAAAAAAAAGCTACTGTTGCTGCCGTGTTTCAACCAAATAAACACGATCTCGACAGTTTCGCCGACGGCACCTAAAATGTCTCCGGTGCACGCACGTGGAACACCGAGTGGTCACACCTCCGATCATTACGCACGGATTCGTTTCTGCGCTTTTGAACTTTGCTCGGCTTTCTGTCTTCTAAAAAGGACAAATAAAAACTCACTATTACATCAACAACCCCTAATTAGGCTCCGGCCTGGTTACACGTCTCCCAATCCCCCCCTATAAACGCACACACGCTTGCGCGCGCAGTTCGGTCGGCTCACCGAGGGCAGGTATCCCGGCTGTGAGGCTTTAACGAGGATCTCGGGGAACACCGTCATGAAGTCCGTCATCTGCACAGCGGAGCCACGAGGCAAGACTACATCCCTGCATTGCAGTCCAGTGGTCCACGTCCAGCGGGGAGGGTGGAGTGAAGGGGGGTTAAGCGCGAGATGAGAGTTATGGCGTTCCAGATGTGGATCCAGTTACCCGACTTACACGCACACACGCCCTGTCCTTGTTGGAAGTTCACTCCGCCTCCGATTCGTCACCTAATGCTCCCGACCAGTGCGCGTACGGGCAGCTTGTTGCACATATAAACAGTTTAGCCAGCACCAAAAAATTTGACAAATGACCACTCAAATGATGTTTGGGGTTTGTATATGTTTTTATTCAATAGCATTTCTAACACAAACGTGTCACCACAGACGCAGCGGAGGACACAAGATCGGAGTAAACATGTTTTGATAAGGAATCCAGATACCATCAAATGCAGGTGACTTGCTCGGCAGAACAGCACGTATTACAGTAAAGACCTGGGCTGAATTTACCGCGCATATTGACTGCCATTTTCAGGATGCACACCACAAGTAACAGGAAGAACAGATCATTATTATTACTATTATTCTTACGCATTATTGGGCTGCGAAATGGGAAGTGCCGCTTTAATTCCAGAGCCGTGACAGTACGGACGATCAGCAATTTAGAAGTGATCCCATGTACACATGAGTAATTCAGCTGGAGGAGTTAAATGTGGCTCCCAAGGTGCATTTCTGTAAGAACTAAGTAGCCAATGGCCTTCTGTTATGTGCCACTAACCTTTTCTTAAATAATGTCCAAAGGTTCAACATTTTCGGTGCAACTGAGGCTCGTGCATGTCGTTGTCTTTAGAGCCGCCTGCTGAGGCAAACGCGATACCTCCGAAACAAAGTGGGAATAGTTATTGAATCGTAACACATTTTTGGCATTGCTACACTATCGAGGACTTTCTTGGTTGCAAATCATTCAGGAATGATTTTTACCTAAAGCTAATTCTAGCCTTCGGTCCTCCAAATGCATCAATCCAGATCCCTGTGTGTAACAAAAAAAAAAAAAAAATCCCGTAACGGCCGTAAACTTATTTTGAATTTGTGGATCATGTAGATTCATGATCTTGTTTATTATCTTTTTTGTATCCGGTTCTTGTGCTGCTGTTTGAGGGGGTCTTATAGAAAAAACATGGATATTCCTCGTATTACGTAACTGTACTATTATCAATAGGGACTGACTCATACTGACTTCTGACCGAGTGAACATCTGCCGAGGCTCAAGATGGTTTTTGGGACTTGCGCAGCTCAGGCGGCCCCGTCCAGTTTAAGAGCAGCCACAGAGCCTGCAGCTTTGTCCTCTTCTTCATCCTCATCCTCATCTTCCTCCTCCTCCTCGCCATCGTCTTCATCATCCTCGTCGTCGTCGTCGTCATCATCCTCGTCGTCGTAGTTGTCCCGCTGGCCGCCTCCGGACGCCAGGTTCTTCCAGTAGGCGTCGTAGCCTGACGCCCCGTCGTCGTCGTCGTCATCGTCGTCGGCACCAGCCTGCCGGCCGAATTTCAGCGTGCGAGCTGCAGAGAACGCGGAGGGGAAATGAACTCAGCTTCATTTATCCGGGAGGGTGATGCAACAATAAAAAGCCACCCCGAGACTTTAGAGATCGGGGAAGTGTTTTACAGATGCGCTGCGGTTTAGATGCATTTCATCAACGGTGAGTATTACGTTGGACTCAGTCGGTCCTTCTCTGGTATCATCGTGGCATTCGGGTCACAATGCTAGGCTTCGGTTTTCATTCTGTTTTAAAAGTTATTAAGCAGCGTTTTGGTGCCTTTTGGTCGGATGCTGCTCTCATACAGTCAATTTGTCCATATTACAATAAGTAAAAGGAATTAGTGAAACGTAAAAGTTGAGTAGAAAAACAGGAACCAAATAATGATTTGTTTAGCACACATAGTCTCAGAGGAGACAGGCAACCGGTTATTTTTAACTTTTACTGGAGATGAAAACCTGATTAGGAGGGGAATCGAGGCTGCTGCCATTTCCTTTTGTGGTATAAATAACTTGAGACTCACTCGACATGCTGAGGTCTTTGGTCTCCTGAGTCTCGTGTCCACACTTCGGGCAGGGTGGGGCTTTGCCTTTTTCCTGTTTGAAGACTTTACTCTTGGCATGGTCGTCACAGTAACAGGCCTGAAAGGACACAGGTGGATTGACGTTCAAAGCAGTACATGGGAATGTTGGTTGCACATACGTGAAATCCATTGACTGTTCAGGCTTGTTAGACAAGTAATGTCATCCCCCACGCATGTATTTACCGCAACATATTCTTTCTCTTTCCACTTTAGAGCTTCCACCCTGCTGTTTATGGAACTGGTTTATGGGATTAAAAATAAATTGTTTGGTGTTCTTCCTAGACAAGCTCATTATCCCAAACACTAACTGATACCTCCAATCAGTATGAAAGAGGAATGATTACCCCCAACAATAACTGTTTAGAATCTAAATATGGGCATGCATGGATTGTTTTAAGATAGACATAGTGAACGTGTCCTTTAATCAGATTTGTTGATGTGGCTTCTTAAGAAAACCACTGTGGGAGGTAGCTGATAAGATGGGCGTGGTTTTACAAAAAGAAAGTCCTTGCTGCTGCCGTAGGAGCAGATTAAATCTAAAACCAATGACCTCCCTCCACTTTGTCATCTGGAGTAGGAAATGTTCCCTCACCTTACAGCGCAGGCAGGAGTGTTGTCCCAGTCGATTACAAGAAATACCTAAGATGGGAAGTGTAAAGAATCACGTTCACTCCAATTATTATTTCATGAAAGGAATAACTTACCTCCACTTTCCACATGCAGCACAAAATAATAATGATTGACATTGCGAAAGCCAAACCCCATGACTCACACTTGTACGTTTCCGCCTGCAGGACCTGGCAGCTCGCTTGGTGCTCGAATTGATCATCCTCACACAAGAAGTTGTGGCAAAAGGAACAGCGGAAGATTCGGCCTCCTATTCAGGAAGTTAAAGTGTTTAGCTGAACGCCGGGGTGACATGTGACAGGGAAGAGGTGTGTGCGGTGTTGGGTGTGGGACGGTGTGGGGGGGTGTCCTACCATGATCCCAAACGGCGCGGTTACACTCTATGCAGTCCGCGTCAGTCAGAGGACACACACAGGAGTGAGTGCTCACACACTTCCTGCCGTGGCAAACCCAGGCCTCACAGAAGTCACACACTGCTCCCTTGTGGTTCACAAGAAGGTTACAATGGAAAACGTTAACGCAAAGTTAAAGAGCACAGTTGAGACACTGTATGTGACAACTAGTAAAAGTTCTATTCTTTGTATAGAATTGTTTCTATTATGGAATATTTCGTTCAGATTTAAGAAATTGCTGAATGCACAATCGCACACACACCTAAATTGAAATATTCAACATGTTAATGAAATACAAATACATTATTTTGAATATTACCAAGAGCTAGTAGTGTGGAAAGGTCAGAGATAAAAGAGCCTGCCTGTCGATATCAGTGCAGTAACGTACCACCATGGCCATTCCAGTGGCGTGGATCCCAGGATGTTTGATGACACAATCTGATGACTTCATGCACTTGGTTTTGCCTGACAACACAAGCAATAAGCACTTCATAGTTTATTACAGTGTAACAAACTATTCTGAGCCGACATCTGAATCATTTAGTCGTGATTATAGCTGCAGTCTGCCATTTTTCTTTTTTTATGGGTGACAGTACCCAGTAAGTACAATATTCGATCGTGCTGCCAACCCAGGTGACCTACAATGATTTCTCATGTTTCTTTTGTTCAACGCTCATGTGAATAAACCATAGTAGGCTATGTATCTTTCTGGTTGCACTGAACTGAAATGAACACATCACTTTCCCCTTGCTGAGGGTTGAGGATGCAGCACTTATTTATGCTTTTGCTTCACCACAGTGGACCTCTACATTTACAGCATCCTTTTCTCTCATTGTCGGAACTCATCCTACCAGCATTCTTCATCTCAATCTGCAATCGACCTCCACTGTTGCTCATGAATAAACATGTGAAACAATTGTAGGATGAAGTAAACGGAATTTACTGTGCCGATTACTCACCACACTGAGCGCAGACAGGCAGCTTCTGCACCGAGTTGCAGAAGTAGCAGAACGCTCTATTCTTCTGCTTTCTACCAGGTGACACGACGAGGAGGGATGAAAAGTTAACCGGTTGACCAGCGGCACTTATACCTGAAATATTGTAATACGGCGCAGCGTCAGTCACTTACCTCTGACATTTGTCACAGTCCTACAAAAAGACAAGACGGTAAAGTGAGAGTATGTGAGCACTTGGGATGAGACACATGACGTGGGGGCCATGATGCGTGTTAGCTGCGCGAGCTGCGTACCATGTTAAAGTTGCACGGGTGTTTAGCCACATCGATGACATCGCGATTGGCTCTGGTCTGCTTCTCTCGCTCTTTGCGGCTCTCCGCCTTTTTCCGGGCGCCGGTTTTCTTTTTGGGCATGTCTGCTTCGAGGGAGCGAGTCGCCGCGCAGCTAGCGGCCGGTTTAGCAGTCGGACACCTGGAAGCGCGACACGTTCAGTCGGCTAACCCACAGCGACGATTCATATGGGCGCAATGACTGTGTTTCAAGTTACTTTACGGGTGTTGTTTGACTTCTGTTGTCAATACACACAAATGGAATATAGATCGCTCACAGCTTCAACCCACCATGAGGCCGAACATTAGCGAATTACCATAGTTTATAACGTGTTAGTAATGTTGGCTAGCTGTTGAGCAGATACAGTTATTAAAACTGACACGTAGAATCGCATTGATGAATAAATACATTACCTCTAAATATAGCCTGTTGTTTCAAACATTTAGGTCGTATAGCAATTACTTCAACGATCCTGAATGTTAAATCAAAATGTCAATAAAATTGTAAGAGTGTGATTTGCAATTTTTACCGAAACAATCGGCACTGCCGAGTTCTTGTAGATCCGGTTCTGAACTATGTCCGTGCTGAAACATACTACCGAGTGTTTGGTTCCTAGATAAATATATCACGGTTTAATCCTTTTCTTATAAATATGTAGAGTGCTCAGTGTGGTAAACGCAATACACCAGTTACAGCTAGAGGCACGAACATCTGAATGTATGCTATGATACGAATGAAAACTTCATTAATTCATCGTTAATATAAAACCCATTTTGCCGCTAAATACATCTAACCGATGGTCCCCATTCCTTACAATCAAATTGACGTATACACACATTTGCCGTATATGCAGAATAAACTTTCTGGAAATGATTTATGTATTTATCTTAAATATGACTACTGTCAATAGTAATTGGAAAATACACCCGGTGAGGCGTGAAGCCCTTTGAAAAGCTCATAGTTATTTCAAAGACACAATTTCACTGAATTATTAGATTACTAATGTTTTATAGGCTCATCCCAACTACTGATGGTCAGAAGTGTTTCCATATAGGGATGGTCCGTTTTTAGGTTTTCGTAGATGCTGTATCTAATGTCTCATGAAGAATGTTTTTAATGATAAACACGTGAGACATTGTATACAAGAAATAGTAAATTGAATGACACAAAAATCAATTACAAAAACATAAACACTTAAAATGCCACTACTAATAACATAACAACACAATCGCTGGCAATCAATAATTAGCCACTGTGCCGCTGCCAGGTTTATGCAAAAGTGGATTACTTGATTTATGACATGTTTAAGTTTCTTCACATGCCACCGGGCGTTGGAGGCAGATTTGGCCACGCCCAAGTCACGTGTGGTTGAGCGGTGGGCCAATCCTGAGCGAGGACGGCAAACAGCTGACGGTGAACAACAACTCTCTCACACAAACACACACGCGCACACAGCGTCGCCTTTTCGTGCAAGCGTGTCGTTCGTGTGGTGGATTCCGCACGAAGCCCACAAACTACCGCACGGACACCTCCTGTGTGATGGCTGGCGTCGGGCTCCGGCTCACTAGCGAAGTTGACGTTTTTTGGCTCCTGTAAAAAAAATTTAAAAAAAAGACCGACGTGGCGCGAGCCTTCCGAGGAGACCCCCCTCCACACGCCCGGCACCATTAACTCCCGAACCGAGCCGCAACCATGGCCGCGTCCCTCATCCGGGCTTGCCGCAGTCTGGCTCTCTCGACGTGGCTGTTGTCGTTTTGTTTCGTGCACTTGTTGTGCCTGGACTTCACGGTGGCGGAGAAGGAGGAGTGGTACACCGCCTTCGTCAACATCACCTACCTGGACCCCGTCACCTCGGAGGTCAAGACGGAGAAGACCGAGTGCGGCCGCTACGGCGAGCAGTCGCCCAAGAAAGAAGCCCGGGGTCTCGCGCTGGTGCCCTCGGGCCTGCAGGACAGGCAGGCGTGCGACCCGGGCGTGCGGTTCCCCCCGGCGCCTCTGAACACCGCCTGGGTGGCGCTGGTGGCCGCGGGGAACTGCACGTACCGGGAGAAGATCCGTAACGCGGCGCACAACAACGCCTCTGCGGTTGTCATCTACAACGTTGGCTCCGGCGGCGCGAACGACACCATAACGATGCCCCATCCAGGTAGGAAACGACGGAGGCCCGAGAGGCGCGCACCTCTGCAGCGGGGAGTTCTTCTTCTTAAGTGTTTTTAATGCGATTAACGGTTCTCGCTCCAACAGCAGCGTAGTAATCAGCTCAATAACCAATTAGTTTCATGTCGATATAAAAGAACACGGAAGAGCACAAGCAGATGGAGTGATAATGATTTGAGTGACACTCCTGCCATAAATCTCCTGGATTTTACAACTGTCTGTTGCGATGCCATTTTTATATATATATATATATATATATATATATATATATATATATATATATATATATTAGTTGTGCCATATTAGTTGTGCCACTTTGATCAACTTGAACACTCAAAACCTGATTTCATTGAAATGTCTAAATCGAGTTTAGTTGGGTTAGGGTTATGCCTGTACTGCCTCCAAACAGGGCTTAGAGTAATATAATCAAAAAGATGCATAAAAAAGATGAATCAAACACAAATACAGCAGCACAGAAACAGACAATTATTATTCACACATTATCTCTCTCTTTCTCTCCAAAAAAGAGCCAAACGAGGAGATGTTTGTCATGATCTGTGCATTGAAGAACACGGAAGGGACTTGTTTGATTTGTTTGTGGTTTATCTTCTCAAACTGGCAAACCCGGCAGGCCGTTATGCAAAGACACGAAGCCTTTAATTGTATCATGTAGGTCAGCTGTACTCAAATTAGAATCCAATTGTTCTCTTCCAAGCGTGCAAAATTTGTTTATTTTACTTGTAGAGTTGAACTCTTGATCTCGACTTAAACTAATCAGCGGGATGAAATTATTAGTGACATTAAGAGTTGACTTTAAGACCTGCAGTAGCTGTGAGAGGAGCCGTCTGTGTGAGCCCTGACAGCGTGTGGCTGGTATTGTTTTCCCCCTGAGGGCCGGTGTGTGTGTGTGTGTGTGTGTTTGTCGTTGCAAAATGTCATGCTGGAGACGGAACACAAAGGCAGTTTGAAGCACTCGGCCAGTTGTTTACGACCCTCCAAGATGCAGCCACAAAACTTTACAGGCGTGTAGTTGAGATCAAAACAAAGGCCTGGTCCAAACAAATGGACCGGACGTAAAAGGGTTGTAGGATGTTTTTTACTTTAAGCCTCCCCGGCCCTGATGGGGTGCGGGGGGGGATCCTATTGCAAGTATACGTGTGTTTCCATTGGAAAAGGTGTGGCTTCGTTCTCCTTTTGAATTAACGAGTCCAAGGCCCCTGTTATGATAAGCAGGTCATTTGAATTCAATGCAAAACCTCAATGCAAAACCTCTCACATGAAATTGAAAACCGGGCTTTCCATGCTTCAAGCTATAAAAGGCATAAATATAAACTGAGACACTTTAAGTGACCGAAGCGGCGGCCGGGAGAGGTGCGAACAGCAGAGCTTTTAGAGAAGAAGAAGGTAACGCAGAGCACCGGGACCAAAGCACGAGTCCTGAAGTGTAGATTCAATTTGAGAGACTGCCAAAGAAGGAATGAAGCACTTTCCTGTCAACAGCCAACACAGCTGGGCTGTAAAATCCACGGTTGCCAGAGCCAGACGTGCCAAGGCGTAACTTGATTTTAACCCACACAACCGAGGCTGAGCGGGGTCGAAGGCATGACACAGCCAGGCCACGACCTGTGAGTGTAGTTTGGAAAGAGAGCAGAGTTTATACTTTAAACTTTTCCTGTCAAAAGTTTTCTACGATTAAGGGAAATGCATTTATTTACTTCCTTGATATAGTGAGTTAGCATACAGACTGGAATCAACTCAAACAAAAGCGTACGGATCACTATGCAGGTCGCTACGTGCCCAGACTCTTCCTTGTCTTTTAGAGCGGAAAACTTCCTGCAGTGTCCCCTGGTTGCCTGGTAACTGCTTAGCACAAATGTATGGGCATGGACGCTATTGCCCCACCAGGTTTTGTTTTCTCACACATTTTTGTGTTGATTAATGACCTTTTTAGAGCTGCTGGACGGAGCCCGGCTTGCTGTTCCCTCTTGTTTCCAGCATCATGTTCAATTTACAGATATGAGAGTGTTATCCGCCCTTACAAGTAACTCTCAGCAGAGAACGCTTCAGGTTTAGATTAGTACACGGTTGTAAATAAAGCCCCCGTCTGTTCATTCTTTAGTAATTTGTGCCTCAGTGTTCCCCTCCCTGCAGCAGACCTCTGTCAAATATATTGAACTGGGAGCCCTGAGCAGGCTGGTGTTCACTGGATTAACCCATTCACTACGTTCATTCTTCTCTGCTGTGACATTTTGGCCGACTGGGTCTGAAAACAGCAAGTTCAGCCTCATTGCACGAAGCAGCTATTTTTATCCGCTCTGGCTGCGTCACAGTGAAACGAAGAAGGAGATCCGAGTCGAGGCTCAGGGAAATCTTACATGTTATTCCATCTCCCTTTTTCCGCTGGCAATGAAGCAGAGGAGTGAGCGTACACGTGGGATTTGCTTCCAAGTCTACAGAGTCTTTGGGCCGTTGACGAGAGAGATAACGTGTTCTTTTCATCTGACAGTTGTTCCATCACGGTGATTTGCGCTTTGCAACATATGGTCAGACTAAAAGCATAAATCTGCAGGGCTGGCGTGCGTTTTTCTGTGGTTTTGCAAGATAAGGAACGTTCATGTGTTTACGTTGTCAGAGGTTCTCGAGAATTGATGTAAGAGAGAGGTGACATATCTCATAATTAAAAGAGAAATGTATTCCACCAACATGTTTACCCGGTGTAAATATTCACGTCGGTGGGAAGTGGAATCCTGAGTGAAGCTCGTGGCTGCTGAGCCCGAATACACATCGGTGTTGAGCAGCGTGTTCCCGTCTGTTTGCTGTCCAAACACAAGGTTTTGTTTCTCTCCGTCATTGTTTGTAGCAGAGTTTGCTTTAGGGTTTAGCCTCATTTTAAGGGAGCAGCCAGCACACATAAACCTGTGTGTGTGTGTGTGTGTGTGTGTGTGTGTGTGTGTGTGTGTGTGTGTGTGTGTGTGTGTGTGTGTGTGTGTGTGTGTGTGTGTGTGTGTGTGTGTGTGTGTGTGTGTGTGTGTTAACAGTTGGGATACTGCCAGCTGGATGACTGTGTCACCCTGAATCAGTTTTTTCTTCTTTTTTTCTTTTTATTTGGTGGATTCTAGCTATAAAGACGTGCTTTGTACCCAGAAAAGAAAAATCATTGATTTAAAAAAATGTCTTTAATTGGCAACAATGCTGCTTTTGCATATATTTGTGGGTAGAAAAAGTGAAAACATCTCTGTGTTTTTGACCCTGGCCACATAAAATGTAGCAGCTGTGCAGATCTTCAACAAACCTGTTACATAAAGGGATTTGTGAGTATGACAGCAATAACGCATTGCTGCATTATACTGAAAATCTATTGGATTCAAAGCCTTTAACTCCTCTGGAAAACATCAAAAGTCATATTTATCTTGTCCGAATTACCCCAGCATCTCATTTTAAAATAGCTCTGTGCTGATCTATTTTACAGTGCATGAGGATTTATCTGGCAGACTGCGCAGTAGAGCTTCTGTTGGGGATTGCAGGTTGAACAAAGCCACTGTTCATGGTGACTGATGGAGGGAGCGAAGCGCCGCAGGGAGCCACTGGGACTCCATGAGGCCGCAGTCGTAAACATGCAGCAGAAGGAATATGATGTAACTGTTCCCGGAATCATCAACCGGCCGACGTACGGCAGAGGCTCGTGTGTCCCTATTGTGAAGAGACCCTGAGTTCTGTCCCTGGGCTGTTCCACCATTAAAGATAACCTCAAATAAACAAAAAAAGAGCTTGCCTGATGCTGAACGTTTGGAGAGGGGAATCAGTATTTGACGGCCGATATTTGTCACACAGCGTAAGCCATCTTTGTCATCTATACACTGCAAGTTATATGCATGCTTCTCAATTGAAAGCTTGTTTTTCTTTATGATAATCCTGGAAGGACACAGCACAGATTTTTATTCTAGTTAAAACTTCTCTCCAGGTGTTAAAACCCAAAGCCCAACACTGAGGACACGACTTCAGTGCATTGGACCTGATTCATCTTCTGAACATCTCCCCTGCTGAGGTCTCGTGTGTGTGTGTGTGTGTATGTGTGTGTGCAGATACAGGCGACGTTGTGGCCATCATGATCCCGGAGTATAAAGGCCGCGAGATTGCAGCCTTGCTGGAGCAGAAAATCATGGTCACACTGTACATCTCCATAGGAACCCGCAACCTGCAGAAATATGTGAGCAGAACGTCAGTAGTGTTTGTCTCCATCTCCTTCATCGTCCTCATGATCATCTCCCTGGCCTGGCTCGTCTTCTACTACATCCAGAGGTTCCGCTACGCCAACGCGCGAGACCGCAATCAGGTAGGACCGCGTGCACGCTGTCTAATCAAAGTATGACTCTGTGAGTCCGCGGTTGTTGTTTTTGTTTTTTTTGCCGCACGGCTGCGCTCTCGCTCTTGTAACCTGGCCCAAGCGTTTTTCCATCTGGTTTCTCCTTTGTGCGGTATAAAGGAAATGCCAGAAGCAGCCAGCTGGCCGAACAGGGACGTGGAAAAGTGGATAAGCATCAACTAACTTAGCGCTGTGGGCCCCGCGGGGCCGACTTCTCCTCAGAATGAATCGCCGCCTCTGACGTTTCTGCGACATCTGTAGTGATAATTTACTGTTGCGCTTGTTATAATAGGAGCCGGTGCCTTGACAACCATTGTTGGCGTTTTCACCATTCTGTTGATTAATGTTGTATTGTAATTGAAGCAATCTGCTCTGGTTGTGATTTCAGGGCAGCTTAGGAAGTTAACTGTTAAAGCCTGATAATGTGCATTGATTCTTACGTGTCAGTTCTCTTAATCGGGCGTCACGTGTTCCTCTAATTCTTCCTATAATACATTTTAATGTTTTAAATATGTATGAACCATCATTTTCTTTTTTGTTAAAAAAACAAGGGCAAACATTTCCGTAATTTTCTTTTTTTTCATTCATTAATCAGAGAATTCACATGTCCACAGCGAGGTGATGTTAAGAAATGTGATCTGATGTGTGAGCTGATGTAGACCAATCGGCAGTGTTTACTGTACATCAACAGACCGACGAGATGCGTGCATGCTGCTGAGTCACTGACCGTTTGTTATCTACAGAGACGTTTGGGAGATGCCGCCAAAAAGGCCATCAGCAAGCTGCAAGTCCGCACTATTAGGAAAGGAGACAAGGTAACAGTACACTTCAAAGCATCTTTGGAGTTCAAAAGTACATGACCATAAATGTCTAGGACATTATTTGAATCCTACAGTACTTATTTTATTTGGTATATGGATACATCCCTAAATTAGAAAATCTCGATATCCTCTTTTAAATCGCTTCTGCTTTTCTTGTCGTCTTTACATCGAAACACTTATTTTGTAGTGAAAGCTGCCAGGAGTTATTAATGTAGTTATATTAGAGAATGCATTTGTCTGTCCTATTTGTCTTTTCCATTTCTTTCTTGCTGTCTTCCAGGAGACCGAGTCAGACTTTGACAACTGTGCAGTTTGCATTGAAGGTTATAAGCCGAACGACGTCGTGAGGATTTTACCGTGCAGGTAATGTTTCTGTGCTTGATCTTAGTTGCACTCGCTGTAAACTATGAATACTGGGTGTCTCTTTGTAATGTAGTCATTAAGTCATTATGCGCTCTTGTTGGGTCAGGCACATCTTCCATAAGCACTGCGTAGACCCGTGGCTACAAGACCACCGGACGTGTCCCATGTGTAAAATGAACATCCTCAAAGCCTTGGGAATCCCAGTAAGTCCCTTTTATTTTTTGTATATTCTGTGTGGTGCACGACATAAAACAAACGACCACTCACAGGATGCATGAGAGCGCCTCTAAAGACGAGACCTTTGCCACGTTGCAGCTCAACGCGGATTGTCTAGATGACGTTCCTCCAGACTACGGGACGCCCGTCGGCGGCGACTACAACAACCCCATCAGCGGCGCGAGTGAAGTGACGGTTAACGAAAGCTCCGTGGTTCTGGATCCTGCCGGCAGAGCGACCGACCCACGGCAGCTCCATCCGGGCGAAGACGCAGAACCTCGGGCGGCACAAAGCCACAGCCTCGCCAGCTGTGAGTACAAACAACACACACTGGTTGCAAAGGTGTAAAGATGAAAAACGGCTGTATTTAGTTATGGTTAAGAGAATGTTATCATATATTATGTCTGTCTCCGTTATTTACCACTTCCAGCTTTGACTGTTGCCTGATTTATGGGATGTCCTGTGCTTTCAAATACTTCAGGATATGTAGGAGTTGACAAGACTTTTTGTCCCCCATCCCGTGAAAAAAAAAAAAACTGCCTTTTTTTAATAGTGTGCCGGTTCTGGCTTTACTCCCCTTCCCTCTTGACATTTAAGGGGTTGAGTTGTTTATTCTGACGGCTTAATCAGGCCAGCAGGGACCTGGCCAGTGTTTCCTGATCCAGATACTTCTGAGCAACACAAGAGATATTAAGACTAACATTTTGTTTCCAGAAAGCCACAGCGTGACCCACATACACTAGAATATTTATATAAACGGTTTTTGTGCACTTGAGCACCTTGTGGAAACGCCTATGAGTTGTTTCTTTAAACTGTAAAGACTGTTAAACATACGTGTGCTATTGGCACCTTATAGCATGAGCTTCGCATCTGAGGCCAAAAACAAAGACATTTCCACATTTTAAATGTTTGGGGTTCAGATATAACACTTATTCTATGGCTGGATGAGGAGACGTATTTCTTTTTAATTTATTACTGTTAAACATTTTTTTGGAGGGGGCCGTCGTATCCTGTAGAGACGGTGAGGCCCTCTTAGGCACGTTTTTGATGTAATTACTCTTGCCTGTGGTTTTACTGCTGTTCCTGCAGTCAAGTTGCCGGGAGCGTATGGTTTATAGTTAAACTTTAATGTCGTGTTTCAAGGCCTGAAGGTGCAGAGTGTAACAGTAAATCGAAGAAGAAGTGTTTAAGTAACGAGAGTCCTTCTGCTCAGCCGTTAGACAACACACAACACTTCTACACCTGGAACAAACATGTCCAGACTCACTTCTGACAAGGATGGACGGACAAAGTTGTAATCTCTTTTCAACTGTTGGATGTAGAATATTTCAGCATTGTGTTTTGAATGTTTTTGTAATGATTTATTAGAGTTTTAAGCTGTTCAGCCACTGGTGTGAAAGGGAATAAATATGGCAAACGGTCAAAAAACAAGATTGCGGTTTTCTTTTGAATACCATGTTCTTAAATCGTGTGACACGTTGACCCAAAAAAGGTATTTATGAAGAAGCCAGACATATACAATGGACGGTACTCTAAAGGTGGTCGGAAAGCTAAAACCTTAAATAGGAGTTGAGTCAAACAAATTTAAATATGAAGTTGTAGAATCGTTGTTGTTGTTTTTTCCTGCTTAATTTAGTAAGTAGACCATTAAAGTCAGAAAATCAGAAATGTAATGATGTTTGGCAAAATTTCCAAACATTCACTGAGATATTTGAGCTTCTCAAATATGAAGAGGTGTTTGTTTTTTTTCTTTCTCTTTCTTGGATTATTCTTGTTCAATAAAAAGTATCTTTGACTGTTAATCATGATATTGGGAAATTTACCGTAAATTGCTGCCCTTGTAAGTTTTAGTTACACCATCATGTAAACTGCACTTCAAGCAGTAGAGCAGCTCGCCACAAGCAGGGGATCCCAAAGAGATTAGTTAGTATGTTAATTAAATTGTATTTGTCACACGTTGCAGCACTATTGAGCCTCTAGTGACCATGTCACCGGTAGGCGGTTGGCACGGGATGAAGCCAGCCTGTTGTAAATACCTGACTCATCACTGACATGTCGGGAAGATAATGTTTAACGCAAATGCAAAATGATTCTACCTTCTTTAAGGAGACACCTCCCTCTCTCCAACCTCAGGTGGGCACCAGCCTCCACCCGGCAGCGACTACGGCGCCTCTGTCATCATGGGCGTGGTGGTGGGCATGCCCGAAGTGGACCTTTCCACGGAGCCAGAATTGGACCGGGCCAAATCCTGAGCCAATGAAAGTTGAGACGAAAAGCATGAAACACAAAGAGGAGGAGGAGGAGGAGGACAAAAGCATGACAAAGTAACGGGGGACCCCCCCAGAGATCCTCCACGTCTTTGACCCCCTGGCGGAGGCGACTCACACAGAAGAAGGGCAAATGAACATTACAACCTAGCAGCCCAAACACCCTCCACCCTCCTCCCCCCAATTTTGTGGCCCAGTTTCTATAAAACGTAATGATACAATATGCATCAAACATTCATTTGATATGTAAAGATATAGTGGAGTAACGTCTGGCTGAGAAGAGAGGGAGCCGAAGTCCTCTGCCCTGTGCTGACATTTCCAGTCCAGTCGCATGTGTATTTTTTGTGCATGTGAGTTTGCCCCACTCAAAAGCCCATCCAGTGGTTACAGCTGATTACACCGTCCTCACCAGCGCCGATGGCCCCGTCAGCACTGTTCTTCGCACTGTTCGCTGCCAGCCAAAATCTCAGCCGTTGCCATGTTGAGAGTCTTGCAGGTTGAATAAGGCCTAATACTGAGTTTACCGGTGAACAAAAAAATGTTTCTAAAACGGTGGCTGGACACAATTTAAGCAGTATCATTAAGGTCAGATTGTAGCTTTATTTTTGTTTTATTCCCTTGAAAACTTGAAGCACAGGTCTTTAAGGTCCATGTGGTCATGTGACATTCAAAGAGTCCAAATGTGTATGCACACGTTACGCTGAAATCACAGAATTTTGAAATGCAGCGTTTTTTGCGAGACCTTCAACGATAACCTACACTTCACCCACTGAATATTCCAACACCAAAAACAAGGTAGATATTTCTGCCCTTGAATTTGACAATCATAGCTTTCCACAGGCAGTGTCACCCGCTGCCCCACTGAGACTGCTGCTGTTTATTATCACATTAAACTGCACTTGTGATCAGCTGGCGAGGCTGGTTGTCGGTACGGGATCCTGACACGGTGCACATACTGGACACAAACCGGTCTTTGTTGGATCAATTGAGAGGTTTAGTTTGTAATTAATCCCCTCTGAGTCAGCTCATTTTGCAAACCTACATGCATCGAGACCTCGATAATATCTCCGTAATAAAGCACCTCAGCAACATGGTGTCTTGAGAATTTGCAGGAAACACCAGCTTAGCGTGGGAAAGTTGCCAAATCGACGGAATAAAGGTGTATTTTCAAATGTAGCTCGCACTTCGACTTCTGTGGCGATACTGACTTCACATTCATCGTCTTTTAACGTTTTTTTTGGTAGAATCCATTCTTCTACTTTTCTTTTTTTGCCGTTGTCCTGCCGATCCCCCTCCTCATTACTTGTCCAATAATGTCAAATTGAAGCAGATCAGTGGAATCTACTAGTTGATTTGTTATGTTTTGTCTCACATTCCTGTCAACTTGCACACTAAAGAAGCACAGACCAAGTCGACGGAGCCAGTGGAAACTGGCTGGTTTTCTCTTCCTGTCATGGTTTCCATTATATGCTGCTGTCAGGCACTTCATCATGCACTCTGTTATGTAACACACACACACACACACACACACACATGTCCACAATCCTCTGTTTGGGTTGATTGTTGAAGGATTATTGAATGTACGGGCAAATATTTGATTGTTTGTTGAGCGTTTAAAGCATTTAGTTAGAGCGTAGCTTCTTGTCTGTAGCAGCTTTATACCGGAAACACTACTTTCTAAATCACATTAAAGTAAGAAATTAGAATATATAGTTTTACCATGAAATACTGCCTCAAGTGGGACACATTCACGAATGTACGTTTTTATTCATTATCCATTAGACGAGGCCGTCTGTCTAAATATCAGGTGTAGGTGCAGCTATGCATCGTCTGCATTGTGGAGGATGTTTGTGATTCTTGCCAGTGCATCAGCAGACCTAATGGGACCGCACAACACACAAGATAATAACTGCTCTCCTTGTTTATGTCAACACTTTATGTTGTCCTCTTGTCCCTCACACACACACACACACACACTCAACTCAATGTATTGTACACGCAATGTTGAGTAGCACATTATTTCATGTGTCCGCAATTTCCTGTTAACTGGTAGTTAATCAAAGCTATCGTATATTTCATTTCCTTCTCTGGTCCCATGTGTTTTCTTCCTTTTTGTGTAAATGTTCCTATATTTCAGTTTAAGCTACCGCAGAATGAGGAGACTTGAGGAAGTCTGTTTTTAATGTTCACCTTTTGACAAATGGGGACTACGGTGTTAAATACAGCACACGACTCAGTTTCTTGCCTATTGTATACGATTGTGATCTTTTATCTGTACTATTGTGCGTATAAATGGGGAGTATCAAAATATTGTATACTATATCCAGCAGAAATAATGGCATTGCTATTTTGTAATATTAAAGAATTGTAAGTATGATTTGTCGCTCTCCTTTTTTGTACCATGATGGACATGTAGGAATGTCTGATTGTGAGTTATGATGAATTGAAACCGTTTTTTTAAGCTTTGATAAACAACAAAATGCCTAATATAATTGATCCAGTGGGGAAGTTTCCCAGGGATATCTACGAAGGCCGTCATACAAAAGGTTTTCAACAAGCTGCCACGCCATTCACCCTTTATATATACGTCCCTAAAGTTTAAAAAAGGACGATGTTTTGAGGAAGAATGTGCATAATTCAAAAATGTATGGACCAATGGTTTTAATAATAGTAATTAATATGTAGTCTTTTAATTTCATTTTTTTTATTTTTAACCCTCTGCATAGCTCCCATCTTTACACTGCAAAACAATATATTTTGATTTGATTATCATTATTAAAACGATAACACTCTTTAACTTTTCTTCTTTTCTGTTATTACATTAATGTAATGCGTGTTTTTATCCAGTGGAGGGCGGTATTCTCCCTGCCAGAAACGTAGAAGAAGAAAAAGGGGCTAAAACAGCAGCAGGAGGAGAAATCCCCTGCAGGACGCGCGCTGTCTCGCACGCCGAGTTCCAGACCGCCTGCGCCGCCGGCGTGAGCCGCAGGACCGTCCTGCGAGATGCGCTTCCGCGGCCCAGTGTCCACGTACATGTACATGATGCATGTGTATCTGTAACATAAAGCCAGCCAAGGCGGAAGGAGTGCTGTCGCAGGCGATGTTGATGTGCCTGCTCACCAGACAAGGCTGAAATCCTTCGACCTCCGAGCTTGGCGGCACCAGGGGATTGTTATTTTCCAAAGCTTCCCAGGTACTATTAGATTTGAATCTGTAGCATGAACAACCATAACCAAGGGATCATGGTGGGTTCTTTTAATGCATCAAACTGGTTTCTTGGCTGCAGGTGAAGCAGACGAAGAGCTCAACCACCAAAAGAAGGTGTGGGAGCAGATTCAGCCGGACCTGAAATCAAATCAACTAACACAGCTGGTCAGAATGGCTCAGTGAAAGTCCCCTGTTGCCCCCTGTTGCACAGACATGGGCATCACTCAAACCGTTATCTAAAATCTGAAGTTCTGCATTTGGCCAAATAGGGAACTTCAGTACCCATGATGATTATGTATGTGTGTGGTGAGATGAGAACATACAGGCTTTGTGATTCAGAAAAGCCCCTTTGGTTGGGAACTATTTGATAAAATATCAATAGTTGACTCCATGGAAGACAAACGTGATTCACGGGAAAGCTAAATCTTAAAGCATTTTTATGTGTGTGCAGTGAATGTTTGAGCTTGTACGGACCTAATGTTCCCTTTTCTACATTTGGGGAGACATTTTGCATGTTTTTAATTGGAATAGAATGGGCAGTGTTGCCAGTGCATTTAATTGTGGGAATAAAAGCTGTTCTTAGGATTTGGGGCTTTACTCACTCACTTTTTTAATCAGGGCAATACTAGGTTTCGCTGTCACTCATACAGACACTGTATGATTTCATTGTTATTCATATTGTTTTGAACATATCCTACTTATTTGAATGTTATAATACTTCACTATTATTTTTAATAATTTTTACTATATTATTGTTACCTCCTTGCTCTGAGGCGACAGTGCTAACCACCACACCACCGTGCCGCCCTATTGAAATATATTTCATTACAAAATATGTTCATGAAAAAAGTCAAATAAATTGTGAAGAATTTCACAAAATTTAAAAAATATTCTTAAATAAAAACAGTAAAAGTATAGAATGTCCAACCAAAACATTATTAAAATATGTAATAGAAAAAGTAAAAAAAGACAAGCATTGATGAAGGGAGCAATGAAACTCGCTACTACAACAGGCAGCCCAATATCCAAACTTCCAAAAAATTCCGCTCCATGCCGCTCCCTCCATATTTTTTAACACTACTCTGACCAGATCTGCAGAATTTAGGAGATGGTGATATAACACTTTTACTGAACAGGAATTTAGTAACATACTCTCCATCTATAAGTGTCAATATCTCTACCATGTTGATGTCGATAATGCTCAATGCTTATAATCAGATTCCACAATATCAATTGTCTTGGCCAGGATTGGTGGACTGTTGAGAAAACCAACAAGGCTCATCACAACAACACTTTGTCCTGGGTGCACGCTGCACAGGCGCGATTGACAACTATGTCCCCGCTCCATTAAATTAAACGGTTGCCTGTGTTGAAGAAATTATTCTGTATATGGTCAAATTCCGTGGCTGTTCAGATGAGCTTTATTCACTGCGCAGTGGAGTTCACAACAAGGCTGTAGAAGCCTATTTGATCAGAGTGAGGTCAGGACCGGTTTACAGGAAATAACAGTTCATCAAAAAGAGGGGGGGGGGGGGGGTTGTTTGACCAAGCTTCTGAGGAAGAACAAAGGACCTTATCAGTACAGGGGGGGGGAGTAGCGCCTGAGTTCTCAGCTCACATGTAGATTTCCATACAGGCCTGTTCAATGGAACAAAGGGTGAGGTCTGCTTGGCTTTCCACATCTGGCTATGCTGGAAAACTCCAGCATGAAGGTTTGTTAAAGTTAAGTATTAGTGCCCCCCCTCTCTTCCTGTCACTATGCCTAAAAGTCCCGAAAATCCAACAAAAGTCCCACAACGGCTGCGTCATCCAATAGTTTCTGTGTGGTATTTCGATTTCAAACATGTGTATTTGTTCCTCATCTCTCATATTATCACTTTCCTCGCGTGGCCATATGTTGATCCTCGATACCTTACGGGCCTGCGCGTAAATAAAGCGCGCGCGTAACCGGCCCGTCGGTGACGCGCGCGCTTTATTTGCTTGCGGCAGCGCCACAGCGGCGCAGAACGGGGCGGAGAAGAAGCAGCAGCAGCAGCAGCAGCAGAAGACGAAGAGGAAGACTGGCGTGTTACTGTCGGGTTTTAGAGCTGAAACGTCTTCTTTTGTTCTGACACCGCAGCCGGCAGCAAACGGACTGTGAACGGTTCGTTCGCGCCGTCTTTGAAGGGAATTTCTCCTCAGCGCAACGAGGACGCGCAGAAAACGTCACCGACCGCGATCACACCTGCACGGGAGCATGCACAACAAAGACCGATCAGGCACTCGCTGAGGCGAACCGAGCCAGACCGAGCCAGTCGGCCCCCACGAAGAGACGTTCATTGGTGAAAAATCGTATTTAAGAATCCTGGGCTGCGCACAAGAGGCGCGCGTTGCAGCAGAAGGTGTGTGTGCGCGACGTTTGGTGTTGGACTTCCACATTGCAGGCCGATCCGATCCGTGCCAGGCGCGTTTAACTGTAGCAGCACTTAAGTGCTCGTCTTGCTTTCAATCGGACTTGAAATCGTTGGCGATATTTCATGGGTCGAGGAGGAGCACATCAGGCCTTGATCGGTGTTTTGGTGGTCTGATAATCCCCGCTGGAATACTCGCACGTCCCGGTTGGGCCAATCTAGGGGTCGCCCTCGGCCATCCTGCGCTGTTCGATGTTCCCTTAAAAACGGGAGAACTATGTGGCTCAGTCCCGAAGATGTTTTACTGGCCGGCGCATTGTGGATCACCGAGAGAGCGAATCCATACTTCATCCTCCAAAAACGGAAGGGCCACGGGGATGGAGGCGGGGGACTGGCGGGTGAGTCCCAAAACCACTGAACCACAAAAACAATGTTTTATTAAAATTCTGAATATTTTATTTATTTATTTAATATATATTTTTTAATGTTGACATGGTGGTTGAAATATAGGTAGCCCGCAATATGCCAGATGGGAGTGTTTATGTTGGTTTACGTGAGAGGAAAGCTGGACACGAGGGCTGTCACGTGACCAATCAGCTGTCACAGGTGGCCTTTCACCTGGAAGCGAAGAGTACAATGCTTGCTTTCACTCCAATTGATTTTTTTTCTTCACGTGATCAGCCTGCTGGGATTAAGGATATCTTTTTGATAAGAATATGGTGGTTGAAATAGTCCACGAATTCTGATAATACAATTTTCTAAAAATAGCAGGCTATTCCTGCTCGAAAGCTACATTTAGATTTCAACAGTTACACCAATGCAAACAATGGTCAGTGCAGTTTTTGTGCGGGTGCCAGTAGCTGTGGAGTCTCGGCAACAGTGAATCCATTTCAGACACTGTTTGCTTGTTCATGCTGAATCATTCCCCTTCCTCTTTCTCTCACTCCTCCTCCTCCTCGTGCTTATTCCATCCAAAATGGGTCAGACAGGAGGAAGAGTTGGAGGAAGACATGGAGGAGGTTAAGCATATGCAGATAACTCCTTGAGGTTCACAGTTCAACAGCCTGCTGTCTTGTTTCCTCACTGAATTTCGAAATGTGATTTAATTTAATTACATCATTTAGCTGAATTCAGCTGGTTTTACAGATGAGATTCACATTGCAAGTACTGTTTATCTATGGTGGTCCCAGTACACATGGTGATATTAAAGGAATAGTATCTGTGGAATACATTTAGATACTCGTCTCAAGGTATACTGTCATGTTTATTAACTGTCGTGTGGCTAATAAAGGTCTAAAGAAAACCACATTGGGCCTTGACATATTTGACCTTTTTTTTCTTATTTACAAAATAAGAACTGCTGCCTCATTTTCTCGGTCTGGTGAGTACTTGAATGATGTCGTTGTTCTGTAAATGGCGAGCTTGCTGACATGTGCCGAGTGCCAGTTGGCACCAGTGACACTGGCGCTGCCCAGACGCACCTCATTCAAGAAGAGAGGAAAGCAATCGGCGGCACCAGGACCGAGTATTTCACATCGCCAGGCACCAATATGCACGCTCAAAATAACCAGGCTGGAGCTCTGACGTCGAGGCGGGCACATGCCCAGTGATGATAGGTAGAAAGACGCTGCTCACTTATTATCGGATATAATTCCTCCAAAACCAGACAAATGAAACAATGGATTCGCCTTCTTTTTGAATGTCTTCAACCCGTGCATCACTTTCATGTTGACTTCAGTTCCTCATTTATCAAAATGAATAAACCTTCCACATAACAATC